AAAGAAATCACACTTGAGATCAAGAATCCCTCAATAAATAATCTAGCAAACCATTGATAATAAAGCTTGTTTGAATAGAGCATATATATTTATTTGAACTTTTTCGTCAATTTTGAGTTATTGTCTATTTTCCTCTACTTTAAGAGGAAATTTATAAATATCTTGTCTATTATAATTAATGTGAGTCCTATTCCTCCGATTATAAGGAAGCATGAAATATTAGCTAATAAAAACCTGCTAGAATATCCAATCAAAATAAATTTTTCACTCAGTTTATCTTGCTAATTTTCAAGATATCTACCATCAATTTCAACATGAATTTTTAAATCATCATTAAAATCAAGACTCATGAGGTTGAAAAAATTTAGTTACTTAACATTTTTCAGAAAATGCTAATAATTAGCAGGTATTGAAATATCAAATAGACCAAGATTGTAGATCTTTAAAAGTAAATTGCATAATAAATGTTTACTTATTGAAAATAGTGGATCAATGGCCAAATATTGCTTCTTAATGGTCTAAATTATAATTATTTACTTGAAATTATACATTACAGGACAAGCAATCAAACCAATAAATACAGTTGCTTAAACTAATTATGCTGTAATTTGACCTTACTTTTATCCCTGTAGCGCATCATCTTCAAATAATTTCATGAAATATTATTTTACTTTCATTAATTTAAGCAGGTATTTATTGTTTCAAGTAAGTAAATCCCCCATATTTATGCATATTTATAAGCTATCCAGTTTATGGATCCTTGTAATAGAATATACAAACTATAGAATCAATTTCCTATGAGTAAAATATTATGAAATTTTGATAATAATTTTACATCAGTGTTTTGTGATATTAAGTAGGATTCCTAAAATTTCAATTTTAAGTTAATCATTTAATCTTCATAATTCAAGCTGAAGTTTATATTAGTTTTTTACTCTGAATTACCTTGAATAAGAAGAGCTTTAATTTCTATATCTTTGAAGGTACTTGAGGCATAATCAAATTGCAAATTTTGATTAACTTTAATCTATGCTTATCCAATCTGATTTAATCCAACTAATGTTGCTTTAAGTTACTTCGAGAAATCATGCATAGATTGTGGAGGAATAGGGTCAGCTAAAGGCAATTATTTTATGGTGAGCTTTATAGTATATCTAGTTTCTTGAGGAGGAATTCCATCATCAAGAAGAACAATTGATATTTTATGAACTCCGACTTGATTGACAGTAGCATTAACTACAATAGTATTTTTATTTATGTATAGAGTCTTATCAGGAAAATCATGCTTTAATGAGATGGTTATTTTATTATTTTCAATGTCAAAAATGGCTGGGAGTTTGATGAATTAGGCCTAATTAACAAAAGCTTTGATTTCTTAGAGTTAAGTTAAAAAATATGGTATACCATTACTGCTCGAAAATTGATTATTTGAATTTTAATTTGGGCTAGGAGTTGTTGAAATTGGTACTGGGGTTAATGTGGTTGTAGTAGTTGTCGTAATGGGAGCTTTAGTCGTAGTAGTAGTCGTAGTAGTTGTCGTAGTAGTTGTCGTAGTCGGAGTTTAAGTCGTAGTAGCAGTCGTAGTCGGAGTTTAAGTCGTAGTCGGAGTTTAAGTCGTAGTAGTAGTCGTAGTCATCGTAGTTGTCGTTGTAGTAGTCGTAGTTGTTTTCGTTGTAGTTGTAGTTGCTATAGTTTTTTGCTAAATGCTGATATCAATCGTAAATAGTTCATTGGAAACTTTATTTTATTCATCTTCTATTAATGCTTTGAATACCAATGTAAAATTTAGAGGAGAGCTTCCGTTATTGGTTGAATCAACAGATAATATTTTGGTTAAAGGATTAAAGCCAAAAATTTGAGGCAAAGTGTCAGTTTGATATTTGACAACTGTCAAAGTATAATTTTAATCGTTACAATTGTTATTGTATTACAATGAACTAAGATCAATATATTCTATCTATTAGCCAATCAAAGAAAACTTTGAATATCCACTAAAGGAAAAAGCAAAAGTGGTTATTTTGCAGATTTTCTTTTTTATGCTCAAGAAAAAGGTATAGTTAGTCTGATATTCAAGAGATTAGAACTTACTCACATATGAAATCGTAATCTAATAATTACCTATCGCTTATTTATCTGTCTAAAATATTGTTAGCAAGTTATCTACTGATTTAGTAATGGTTGAAGTATAGTTAGGATTTAAAGTTGTGATTATATTTATTTGACTTGGTATAGGACACCCTTGATTGACTGTGTAGGTTTTTAAGTCGATTATCAATGATGGAGCACCAATATTATATGTTTGATTTTAGTAAATGACAGGGTCCAATTAGACAGAACAGTTGGTAGGCTAGATTTAAAGATTGAATGAGTTTGTTTACCCGGAAGGATAAGTGCAGGTAACTGTAAAATTGGAGTTTCTTGCTGCATATTGTTATTAATCCAAACTAATTTGATCTTTTCCATCAAATTAAAATTGCAAATCGTTTTAAACTAGAGGACTGACTGTGAACTTTCTAGATTAATCCTAGCAAGATTCATCCCCAGAGAAATAAGAAGAGGAAATATTTTTATTGAAGCTTTGCAACTAAATTGGATATACTTCAACAATGTATGTTTTATTGTTGGAAGTCCATAACTTTGGTATGTATTCGCATAAACCTGTGTAATTTGTTCGATACTTTCTAATATCTAACAAGGTAGAGTTAATATCAGATGTTTTGGTGATGTTCATCGGGGCACTACTAAAATACTAGGTAGGAATCGTTTCGAATGTAAAATTTGTTGATGAGACAGCTTAACTGACTTCTGCATTTGGTTTGAGGTTAAACGGACTACAAGATTAGGCGACATCCGAAGTTAATAAGAAAGATTGGTATGTTCCGGTTCTTAGAAACATTACAATCTTTTCAATTTAACCTCCATAAGCAACTGTATTGTCTTTCAAAAATACTCCATCTCTCATATAGAATGTATCCTAAAAAGCGAGTGACATTACATTTGCTATAAATAAATTAAGTTAGTATTAGGATATAATTACTTTTAATTTAAGTCCCGTCAATATCTGATAATTCAATTATTAATCCACTTGTTTTTGTTTGATAATTGATGACGAATAAGTAAATTCTAGACTCTGATATAATCTTTATATCTTAACACAAGTATGAATGAGGAAATTCATAAACTTTTTGTTGTGCCAATGTATTATTAGGATAAACCATCAAGCGGAAAAATATAAATCACACTTGAGATCAAGTATCCCTCAATAAATAATCTAGCAAACCATTGATAATAAAGCTTGTTTGAATAGAGCATATATATTTATTTGAACTTTTTCGTCAATTTTGAGTTATTGTCTATTTTCCTCTACTTTAAGAGGAAATTTATAAATATCTTGTCTATTATAATTAATGCGAGTCCTATTCCTCCGATTATAAGGAAGCATGAAATATTAGCTAATAAAAACCTGCTAGAATATCCAATCAAAATAAATTTTTCACTCAGTTTATCTTGCTAATTTTCAAGATATCTACCGTCAATTTCACCATGAATTTTTAAATCATCATTAAAATCAAGACTCATGAGGTTGAAAAAATTTAGTTACTTAACATTTTTCAGAAAATGCTAATAATTAGCAGGTATTGAAATATCAAATAGACCAAGATTGTAGATCTTTAAAAGTAAATTGCATAATAAATGTTTACTTATTGAAAATAGTGGATCAATGGCCAAATATTGCTTCTTAATGGGCTAAATTATAATTATTTACTTGAAATTATACATTACAGGACAAGCAATCAAACCAATAAATACAGTTGCTTAAACTAATTATGCTGTAATTTGACCTTACTTTTATCCCTGTAGCGCATCATCTTCAAATAATTTCATGAAATATTATTTTACTTTCATTAATTTAAGTAGGTATTTATTGTTTCAAGTAAGTAAATCCCCCATATTTATGCATATTTATAAGCTATCCAGTTTATGGATCCTTGTAATAGAATATACAAACTATAGAATCAATTTCCTATGAGTAAAATATTATGAAATTTTGATAATAATTTTACATCAGTGTTTTGTGATATTAAGTAGGATTCCTAAAATTTCAATTTTAAGTTAATCATTTAATCTTCATAATTCAAACTGAAGTTTATATTAGTTTTTTACTCTGAATTACCTTGAATAAGAAGAGCTTTAATTTCTATATCTTTGAAGGTGCTTGAGGCATAATCAAATTGCAAATTTTGATTAACTTTAATCTAAGCTTATCCAATCTGATTTAATCCAACTAATGTTGCTTTAAGTTACTTCGAGAAATCATGCATAGATTGTGGAGGAATAGGGTCAGCTAAAGGCAATTATTTTATGGTGAGCTTTATAGTATATCTGGTTTCTTAAGGAGGAATTCCATCATCAAGAAGAACAATTGATATTTTATGAACTCCGACTTGATTGACAGTAGCATTAACTACAATAGTATTTTTATTTATGTATAGAGTCTTATCAGGAAAATCATGCTTTAATGAGATGGTTATTTTTATTTAGGTATAGAGTGTTATCAGGAAAATCATGCTTTAATGAGATGGTTATTTTATTATTTTCAATGTCAAAAATGGCTGGAAGTTTGATGAATTAGGCCTAATTAACAAAAGCTTTGATTTCTTAGAGTTAAGTTAAAAAATATGGTATACCATTACTGCTCGAAAATTGATTATTTGAATTTTAATTTGGGCTAGGAGTTGTTGAAATTGGTACTGGGGTTAATGTGGTTGTAGTAGTTGTCGTAATGGGAGCTTTAGTCGTAGTAGTAGTCGTAGTAGTTGTCGTAGTAGTTGTCGTAGTCGGAGTTTAAGTCGTAGTAGCAGTCGTAGTCGGAGTTTAAGTCGTAGTCGGAGTTTAAGTCGTAGTAGTAGTCGTAGTCATCGTAGTTGTCGTTGTAGTAGTCGTAGTTGTTTTCGTTGTAGTTGTAGTTGCTATAGTTTTTTGCTAAATGCTGATATCAATCGTAAATAGTTCATTGGAAACTTTATTTTATTCATCTTCTATTAATGCTTTGAATACCAATGTAAAATTTAGAGGAGAGCTTCCGTTATTGGTTGAATCAACAGATAATATTTTGGTTAAAGGATTAAAGCCAAAAATTTGAGGCAAAGTGTCAGTTTGATATTTGACAACTGTCAAAGTATAATTTTAATCGTTACAATTGTTATTGTATTACAATGAACTAAGATCAATATATTCTATCTATTAGCCAGTCAAAGAAAACTTTGAATATCCACTAAAGGAAAAAGCAAAAGTGGTTATTTTGCAGATTTTCTTTTTTATGCTCAAGAAAAAGGTATAGTTAGTCTGATATTCAAGAGATTAGAACTTACTCACATATGAAATCGTAATCTAATAATTACCTATCGCTTATTTATCTGTCTAAAATATTGTTAGCAAGTTATCTACTGATTTAGTAATGGTTGAAGTATAGTTAGGATTTAAAGTTGTGATTATATTTATTTGACTTGGTATAGGACACCCTTGATTGACTGTGTAGGTTTTTAAGTCGATTATCAATGATGGAGCACCAATATTATATGTTTGATTTTAGTAAATGACAGGGTCCAATTAGACAGAACAGTTGGTAGGCTAGATTTAAAGATTGAATGAGTTTGTTTACCCGGAAGGATAAGTGCAGGTAACTGTAAAATTGGAGTTTCTTGCTGCATATTGTTATTAATCCAAACTAATTTGATCTTTTCCATCAAATTAAAATTGCAAATCATTTTAAACTAGAGGACTGACTGTGAATTTTCTAGATTAATCCTAGCAAGATTCATCCCCAGAGAAATAAGAAGAGGAGATATTTTTATTGAAGCTTTGCAACTAAATTGGAAATACTTCAACTATGTATGTTTTATTGTTAGAGGTCCATAACTTTGGTATGTATTCGCATAAACCTGTGTAATTTGTTAAGTACTTTTTAATATCTAACAAGGTAGAGTTAATATCAGATACTTTGGTGATGATTATCGAGGCATTGTTTAAATATGAGGTAGGAATAGTTTCGAATGTAAAATTTGTTGATATAGTAGCTCCGCTAGTATATTAACTTTTATAAGGGATGAGGTTAAACGGACTACAAGATTGAGCAACATCTGAAGTTAACAAGAAAGATTGTTATGTTCCAGTTCTCATAAACATTACAATCTTTTCAATTTAACCACCATAAGCAACTGTATTGTCTTTCAAAAATACTCCATCTCTCATTAAGAATGTATCTTCAAACTAGAGTGTCATTGGATTTGCTATAAATATGTTAAGTTGAAATTAAGATATAGTTACTTCAAATTTAAGTCCCATCAATATCTGATAATTCAATTATTATACCACTTGTAGGTAATTGAGAATTAATGACGAATAAGTAAATTCTAGACTCTGATATAATTTTAATATCTTAACACGAGTATGAATGTTCAAATTCATATACTTTTTGTTACGCCAATGTATTATTAGGATAAACTATCAAGCGAAATAATAGTGTAAGTTTTAGATAGGGACTATTTACATAAATCTGTTGAGCTCCAAATACGTAATCATTTGAATTAAATATAATACCAGCTATAGCATTAATTCTAGATTCACCCAAATAGAAAGACTTAGTTATATTTATTGTAAAAGCGTATTTAAACTATCCATCTATTGAGGAGAGTTTCTAAATAGTGTGATAATCTTCATGAGTAGTAATAGTATTTACGACTTTTTTGTAATAAATTCTTGTTCCAAAATAAATACATGAATTTATTGAATCAAAATAAGATGCACCGATTTAGCCAGTTGTCGGAACGATATTTGATAATATAAGAGATTGCTTCCATTTCAATGACATCTAAGTAAGATTATTCATATCAAACTTGACCATAAGTGGATTTTATGTAACTACGAGTCCTAAGTAGATCATTCCTAATGAGTCGAATATTACTCCGTTTTTAAAGTCCATTGTCCAACAAGGTGTGCTTCTAGTGGTATCTTTAAATGCAGACATTACTTCACCATTTGTTGTATTAATCATTATTATATTCATTATTCCATAAGTACTAACTCTATCATATTCAGCAATGATCACAGCTTTTTATGAAGTAGTCCCTGATTATTAAAACTTTATAGACAAAACCTATTTCTAAATTTTTTTTGTCACAACCGAAATCCAGTCATTTTTACCATCATATCCAACATACTGGATATATAGGTAAGTTTAATTTGCATTGGAAGGAAGACCAATTGAAGTCATATTTGATCATCCTGCCATAATTATGTTCTGATTTCCATCTATATCCATAACATCCATTATTGAACTTCCTGTTGTGTCATTGAAGCTTCTAGGATATTTCCAGTCAAAGCATTTTTAAAGGCAAGATATCTAATTTATCAACAGAAGCAAGAGCATGAGTTTAACTTTATTTACTTAAAGATTCTTCATTTTGTTTATTAACTTAATTTATTTAATAATTAATTTCGTTAGAGAGTGTTAATGCAATATTATTACCCAAAACACTCTAAGTATCAAATTTCTGTTTAATTTTCATCAAAATATTGTTAATTTCTTTAATACTATACTTATTGATTTATAATTATCACTCATTACTTTATTTAGCATGCTCGGGGTTTTGGGGTTTTGGGG